TGGCAGGAAGCTGTACAGATTGCAAATGGAGTTGGACTTAAAATTCAACAAGAAATTAAAGCAGTGACAGTTTCAACATTAAGTACTAAATTCTGTAGAGTCCCACTGGAATCTGAATTATTTCAAATTTCAGAGACAGAGAAAGGCAGAGAGAATTGGTTTTTCAAGAAAATGTTTTGTATGAAAGTAGCATTGAAACAATGGTGATACTCAATCACAATATACGGTGTTTCTAATAATTACTAATTGTGGGCCGGCCAAATAGCTCAGTGAATAAAAGCACCTGCAAGCAGGCACAGGGGCCAGGGTTTGATCTCCAGGCCTGTGGTGCCAGCCCTGCCCCCAGGGCGTGCTGAGATGGCAACTGAGACTGGGCGTGGTGGCACACGCCTGTAATCCCAGCTCTTAGGAGGCTGTAAACAGACAGAGCACTACGAGTCAGATCTAGTAGTGAGACCCTGAACATCTTGTAGACCCTTCCCTTATATAAGAAAAAAGAAAAAAAATTACTAATTGCAGTATTCTCATAGCTTTGGTGTCATATGTGGGACTCTATTAAGACTTCTAGAGACCCAAGCAATGAAACACTTACAGACTTCCTATACTACTTTCTTTTTCTTATGAAACTCAAAATAGTTGCAGGAGAGCCCATAAGACAGAAAAGACTAACTTTGTCAAATATCAATAATTATACTGCTAATGCTTTTTAAGAGATTTCCTTTTGGACTCTTGTGTCCCCTAACGATAGGACTGCTCTGATCAATAATTAATCTAACATCAAATTCAACATATTTTAAATGTAATTTACTACTTATTACTCACTTTACAGCTGTCTGAAAAATTGAATGAAATGTACCTACAAAGCCAATTTAGGTGGCATGTCCCAGTTCCCTTAGCTGCTTTCTGAATGAATTTTTAAACAAATTTAGTCAAATGAGTCCAAAATCATTGCATGTGTCCCTGAGCTCAAGTCCATAAAAATATATTTTGTCAGTGCATTATGGTGCTAGAAAACAGACCATTTAGAGAAAGGAAATCAATCAACAATCTTCCTGTGAGTTAAGTTCATCAAATAGTTTCAGTCTGCCTTTAAAATATGGTTCAGTCTTTAGCATGAGATAGGGGACAGATAGGGGACCCTTAAGAATAAGTCTTTGGGCAGGCCAAATAGCTCAGTGGATTAAAGCACCTGCAAGCAGGTTCAGGGGCCAGGAGTTCCATTCCCAGGCCAGCTGTGCCGGCCCCACCCCTGGTGTGCGCTGAGATGACAACTGAGACTGGGCGGGGTGGCGCATGCCTATAATCCCAGCTCTTGGGAGGCTGTAGACAGGCAGATCACTACGAGTCTGAACTAGTAGTGAGACCCTGAACACCCTGTAGACCCTTCCCTAAAATACAAATAAAAAAAAAAAAAGAATAAGCCTTTCACTGACCCCTCTTGATTTATTTCTTAACCTTTCTTGTGCCCTAAGGTTGTAGTGAAATAAATAGTAGTCTCCCAACACATTCAACTATTTTCCTGAATTAGACTGTATAGCTTTTGCCTAAAACAGCAATGCTTAATAAAATTATAATGAAGCATATATAATTTTAAAATTCCTAAGGGCCATATTTAAATAAGTAAAAATGAAACTGAAATTTTAATACTAATGTAATTTATGTAGTTCCATATATCTAAAATATCACATCAATTTGTGATTGATATAAAACTAATAACTAGATACCGTTCATTATTTTTTTATACTAACTCTTTAAACCCCAATCACAGAGTATTATCTCAACTCTACCTAACCTAACTAGCCATATGGTTAACAGTTACCACACTGGGCACGGCCAATGTGGAAAATCATTGCTCTCCCTACCTTTACAATTTAGATCATTCTAATCCTCACTGGGGATGCCTTTCTGCATACCCAAGTCTGGATGTCTATCCACTTACCACCACAGTCCTATGGATGGACCCTCTGTCAGTCCATTTATCACACTGCACTGCCTCTTTATACATCTTTATCTACCAGTACACTTGAAACCCTCTCAAGCTGGAGACCAGGTCTTACCTAATTTTAGATGCCAATCATCTGGCAAATGTCTGTCACAGAAAGAGTTAGTTTTCATTTGTGTTAACTGTCCAGGAGGGAACTAGTTCAAAAGAAAGTCCTGTTTTTTTTTTTTTTTTTTTTTTTTGTTTGTTTGTTTGTTTGTTTTTTTCAGAATTGGGGATTAAACTCAGGCCCTTGAGCTTGCCACGGAAGCGCTTGTTCTACTGAGCCATCTCCCCGCCCCCAAGTCCTGGTTCTTTACTAAGTGCTTTGTATCTATACTTTGTTAGTAAATAGTCAATATCTTAATTTTTAAAAAAGCTATGAATTTAACAAACAAAACATAAAATAAATCCCAGGAATAAATTCTTATGACTACTTTAATGTATAAGAAAGTAATATGAGCCAATTGATGTTACCATTGCTAAAAGTTTTCCTCTGAAGAGAAGTAATGAAGAAGATTGTCCTACTCAAAGAGTTTACTAAAGAATTAGTCAACATTTGAGACTCAAAGGAAAGGTAGAGTAGTATTTACTGGTGGCCTCGAGAATGCTTTTGGGTCATCTAGACCAATGATCCTATTTGATGTATTTAGAAAGAGCCAAACTATGTTTCAGTGCCTGTTTAAGCAAAGGCCCTCAGGCTCAGGGTACTCTAGTTTGATCCTTTCATGCCTGTCCATACTTGCCCTTAAGATATCCTGAGCCAGCCAAAAGAAAAAAAAAAAAAATCTTCTTTTGGTTTTCTTTGCTATGGACTATAGTTTAAGTAGCTGCCTCTAAATTATTATTATTATTTTTGTGTGTGCGGAACCAGGGATTGAACTCAGGACCTTGCTCTTGCCAGGCAAGCACTTACTCTACTGAACCATCTCCCCAGCCCCTGTAGATTATTTTTGAGAGAAAAAAGTCATTTATTTATATTATTTTGATTAAAGTATTATTATTATTAATTTTTTATACATTGCTTCTCGGCCTTTTGGCTAAGATCAAGTGTATTTTTTTTATGTATTTAGGACAGGGTCTACAGGGTCTCACTACACAGATCAGACTCATAGTGATCCTCCTGTTTTCAGGCTCACAAGCACTGGGATTATAGGCATGCACCACCAGGCTCAGTCTCAATCATGCCCTAGGAGCAGGGCAGGCATGGTATGCTGGGAATTGAACCCTAGTCCCTGTGTCTGCCTAAACAGGTGCTTTAATCTGCTGAGCTGTCTGGCCAGCCCTTTGATTAAGGTATTAACCTGACTCAGAATTGTGTTATTTTGCTCAAATGAGAAAATGTATGATGAAGTCATTAATTTCTGTCATTAATGTCATATTTGGGATGGATCCAGGATTTTATAAAATATGAATTTGCAGATTCATATTTAATAAGCATGTTTTTACATACCTGCTTAATGTGCTTTTCTTTTGTCATAATTAATTATAATATACCATATTGAAAGGCTTGGTAAACTATATGGTATTATATAAATGTGAGTTAAAATTATTGTCTAGATCATTAAATACATCTATACTAGAAAAATTAAATTTTTAATTTTTCTAAGTCTTTGTAGGTGTTAATTAATGATACTCAGGTAAATTTTAATATTGCAGCTTATTTAAAAGTTGAGAAAAATGAGAGAAATTCTTATAATTAGCACAAAGACCTTTGACTCAGTTTTTGATAGAGTCAAAATTATATAGTTGCAAACACCTCAGAACTTTAGCTGAACCATTCAGTTACTTCTTCCTTCTTTTATCTTTTTTTCTGGCTGCCTGTGATTAACAAACCTCTCATTTAACCTTTTTCCTCCAGCTGGTAACTGTTGGCTAATGCTTGATTTTTACTCCATTAGTCAGCTGTTTTTCAAAATTTTGTTGATGTTAGTTAGTTTTCTTAAAGGCACCATAAGAATCCAATCTTTATAGTGAAAACATAATTTCCCTAAGCCTCAAATTAGCTTTGAGGCCAGTTAATGCAATTCCTACTTTTTACTGAACTGACTCTTAGCTTCTAGCATAGACAGACAGCAGGTTCAATGAACCAAAGAAATGCCATATCTGATTGATTAGCCCTGGCTCCCTGGAGCTCCATGTTGAGAAAGACCCTAAGGCTTCATGGGACAGAGAATTGCAGAGCTCTGCGATTGATTAGGAATGTCTGCTATGGGCCTGTACTGAATATTGACAATCACAGCACCTCATTTTTGTCATCCAAGGTCTAGGTGAATAAACAGCAGTGGGGAGCTGGGTTAAAAGTCTACTTATTAGCAGCTGCTGAAGAAGCATTGACTTTTAGAAAACGTACAAGTTTCATATAACCTCGGTCTTTACACAGAAGATCAGTGCTGTCTATACAGCAAGTGAATAAAACACCCTGTGATGAATAGTGTTAGTCCATAATGAGATGTGAGATGTAACTCATAAGAAACGCAGGTACCTCAGCATCTACTTAGGTGGTGACCCATCATGAGTAAGAAAGGACAACGTCCTTAGCAAATCTTCCTCTGTGCTTAGCTTTAAATTGAACACAAACCGGGCTCTTCACAGGCAACACAATCCTCAAGTCTGTCAGAGAGGTAAAAGCTGAACCCAAACAACAATATCTCCTCCTTGTCTGGTCAGAAAAACAAGCATTCAGAAACAGCAAAACTCACCCTCTATCCAGATGAAGCCACTACCCAACCGAATAAATCTGTACTTTCTTCATCTTTCAAAGGAAGACTTGGAAACCATAATGAACTTCAAAATGCAACTATAATCAGAAATGTACTGACTTAACATTTTTCTCCCAATAGACTGTTCAGAGGGACTAAAACATCATTGATATTTTAAAGCCAAAAGGCTAAATGTTGCCTATTTGCTCAAAGCCTTAGTTTTAGTTTACTTTCTAATCTGCCAAAATAAAAGCACAGAAGGAAGAAAAAAAAAATCCACACTCCATTAAAGAGAAAGTGAGCTCTGTGCCACTTACGATTGCCTTCTGCCTCTGTCTCTCCCTCTGTTTGGCCCTTTCTGATTCCCGCTTCTCAGACTCTTTTCGGTATTCTTCCCTCTTCAGCCTTTCGTGCTGGTACGCCTCGTAGCTGTCATACCTGCGGAACATAAATTTGTCATTAAGTCAACCACCCCCAATTGCACAAGAATAACGAATGAGAATTTCGAGAGAGGAGAAAGGATTTAGATGCTTTTGTCATCTAAAGGAGAGGAGAGTACAAGGAGCCAGAAGCAAAGGAAAGGCCTCATTACCTGGGCCTACGACTGTAGGGAGATCTTGAACGTGATGTGACATACAAGGGAGAGTTTCGGTGTGTGCGATGTCTGTAGAGGCTTGATTCATAATAGTAGCAGGATCTGGGAGGGAAAAGAAAAATAAAAAGGACTTCCACATCTGCCTCTTACTCTGGATTTATCAGCACTACTGGACATCTTTGTGTGCGTGTGTGTGTGTGTGTGTGTGTGTGGTACTGGGGACTGAACTTGGGACCTTGCATATGCCATCAGGCACTTATGCCACGGACCTGGACATCCTCCAGAATGCTCTACACTGTTAACTGGCTTTCCCTGCTTAGCCACTGGTAAGATTTTGTGGAGATAGTTTGTGATCAGCAAGCCAGCTCCTAGGGCTGAAAGTGATGCGTTCTCCCTGCGCGCACCTTATTGATGCTAACACTGAACACCAGGTCTGGTACGCTGTCAGCTTTATCGTGCATGGCTCTCAACTCTTCTGGCACATGGCAGCACTGCGAGTAATGGAAAAAGTTGGATGAGCAAGTTTCTTACAAATTGCTCTTTCTGATCTGACTAGTTCAGGGCACTCTGCTTAAGGCTGAGTTATTTAAGAGAACATGGGGAGAAAGGAGCGTGTAACAACACTGCTGGCTGCCGCTGTACTGGGAATGAAGTGGTAAATGACTGGGCTGGCTGTGAGTTTGAATACTTTCTTTCAGTTTCTGGGAAACACCACAGGCACTGAGTAGGTTTTGACAAGGATTACCTTGAAGAAGATCTACTGCCTGGGGACCTTGATCTTGATCTGGAATATGGTGATCGGGAACATGACCTGTGTCGAGAAAAGGACCTTGAACGAGAGCGCATCCTTTGGGGTCTTTGAGAAAATAAGGATTTGGGTGACGACACGGAATCTCTACATGGAGAGTTAAAAGAAGAGCAGGAAGGCGACACGTCAAACAATGAATAGGATTGCGTGCCATCCCAAGGGTAGCTCAGTTTATCACTTTCATCTTCGCTGTCATCAAACAGGCCATCCATGGCTAGTCCTGAATTTATAAACATAGGTAGTTTGGAGAATTGTTCATTACTGAAATCACTGTCCCTCAGTTCACTGGTCTTGTCTGCTTCGTCGTCAAAAACAGCTTGACTGGGATGACCGAAGTGCTTGTTCAGCTCAGCTCGGATTTCCTGGTCCTGGAGCTGTTTTCTGGTGCTGCAAGGAGAGAGCTGCTTGCTGGTCTCCAAAGTCTCTCTCAGATAGCACTGGTCGGAATCTGCGGAAGAACAAATCTGCCCCTGCCAGGCAGAAGAGGCGTCTTTATAGTCTAGTTGTCTAGAGTCTTGGAGCTCTTGTGATATATTGATAATTATTTCCGTTTTGGAATTAATGGACTGACAGTAGTCATGGTCACCAAACAGCCGTAGGCTGGGCCGCTTAGCCTTCCTCTCCTCTTGGCCACCTCCGAGCACCGAGGACTTGCTGAGTTGCGCATACAACTCAGATTGCTCGGCCCCCTTCTTGGTGGAGGTATTGACTTGGGTACCGGAAGACTCACTGTGCCGGGGCTTCTTTGATGGCGGTGGCACCCCGGTCTTGCAAGAGGACTTCAGCTTCGGAGAAGCCCTGAAAGGGTTATCTTGGTTGGCTTTATGAGGAGGGGTTGTAGGTGGAGTTAGGCCTAAGGCAAAAAAAAAAAAAAAAAAAAAAAGAACACAGGGAAGAGAGAGAGAGAGAGAGAGAGAGAGAGAGAGAGAGAGAAACAGAGACAATGTTCTTAAATGACAAGACACATTTCCTAACTTCTCCAAGATGGCAGATAAGGATTAAAACTGGTTGAAGAGGAAGGAAAGTAAATTCACAAGTCCTGAGGACCTGACTCATTCCCTAAGCCTCTGTCACCAACGAAAGACAGATGGACAATGCCAGGAGGCAGTGAGAACTGTGGTATTTTGTATTTCAAACACCAAAGCTAACAAATTCTGCTTCTCAGAAAACATAGCTGTGTCACCAGTAGCCTCGCTGGCCTACGTGTTGCCAAGGCTAAAATTTTCAAAGGCAGTGCATAGGCTGTCTTAGGAAAAACTGCCTCTAGGCAATCCAGGAATCAGAACGGTCTGGGTGGCATCTGTCTGTAAAGAATCTTTCAGAAGACAAAAGCAACTCAGGGCTCTTAGTCCAATCAAGAAAATCTAAACTCAGAGCCAATGAGTTAAGCAATTTGAACAAAAAACTGTAGAGTGACAGTAAATGTTGGGTAGGGTGGGAATGACACAGGCACTATCAAATTAATTCAGGAAAATCTGACAGCCAGGACAAAGCACGGAACTAGTCACCACAACTTGACGCCAATGATTTTTTGTCTCCACAGTTCATTAACTTAGTAAACCATGGCTAATGTAGATATAATACATTCTTGTAAGCATAACTAATACATTCTGTCTAAAATATGGTTCTGCAACAGAAACTTAAGTGAACAGCAACAGTAAATATCACCACGCCAATGGACCATTTTATTTAGAGCGCATCAGTACGGGTGATGAGACGGAAGGATTGAAATGAATCCAAGTTTAGGCAACTAATTAAATAAGGAAGGAAGAAAGGGAGAAAGAGGAACACCTGTCAGTGCTTACCTTTCCTACTTTGCCACACAAAGGCAGAAAGTTCAAGCAGAAGCAAAGTAGGAAAGTCTGGGAAGCAAGAGTTGTTACCTCCCAGTTTTATTCCCTCATACTGAGGAAGGATCATTGGCAAGTGACTCCGGAGTCCAGGAGACTTTGAAGAAGGGCAGGCTGGAGTTCAAATGACTTTATGCTTACAAGGGAACATTTTAGTTTACAATACACTTTCTATTTAAGAAGACGGGTGAACACTATTCAGCAAAAAGAGCTTCAAGTCTGCTAACAAGCCCGAGGTTAGACTTAAGGCAACTGCAGATTTCAAGGGAAAAAAATTTCTTACCTTACTGGGAAAAAAAAAATTGTATCAAGAACCAAGTAGGTCACAGGAAGCCACATGAAATTTTGATATGAAGGGAAAGATGCTGCCTCCCTCTCTGACTTTTATTGAAGGTGAAAGAAATTGATGATTTCTCCAGAACTAGGTATTTTACACCAAAACTGGTACTTTTTAGTATTCATGGTTAATTTTACCTTGCTGAAGGAAAAAGGGGTATGAAATGTGAAGGGGATTAACTTGGCAATTCTAGCCCAGGAAGTTCAGAAAAAGAAATGTAAATGCAAAGAGAGAGCTGCTGTCCTTCCTCCATGGGTGCTGGACTCTCACAAGACCTTGCTTTGGTTAACAGCCACTCTGGTGTGGCTGACCTAATCTATAGCAGGCAGGCAGGTGACACCCTACTTCATGAACACTTGTGTCACTGAGATGCTCTTCTGTTTTCCTTCATCTTTCCTACATGAGTGGTTTTTACTTCCTCTACAAAGCTCCTATATGATACATTATAGGACATGACCTCCCTCTCTCTTTCTCTCTCTCTCTGTCTTATTTTATAATTCTTCTATTCATACACATGTATTACCACATAAGCTGCCTTCATTTACCAACATGGAAAATTTAAAGCTGCTGATTCCCAGGAAAAAAAGCAGCAAGTTCTCAAGTATTTCTCATGGGATGTAAGATGCTTAAGAAATAATGATGTGTATGCTCTCTTTCGTGAACAAATAGAAGTCTAATATATCATATGATGTAGCCCTCGAATTGAAGGAAATGGTAATACCCTACTGCATAAATCTTTTTATGACCGCTCCAGCTCAGGGTGATTTTTATTGCTCTAATACTTTACTATTAGGCCCAAGTCAGCTCATGTGGTTCCCACGTTGTTGCAGGTTCTTCCTCATCTCTTTTAGAATGTGAATCCTATCTTATCTCTCCAAATGGATCATAAGCTCTTAGTGTAATGTTGCTGCAATGTATTTCTTCCAACACTGTTTCACTGCCTGTTTTTACTTTTATTTTTCTTGCTTCTCCTTTCATAGTGGATCTCACACCTGAGTTGCCTGAGACCCACTCAAAAAGGTGGATAAACACTTTCAAAGACCTGGCCCGCAGACACATATGGAGAACTGTGGCCTCTCACTGCCTTTTGGGCTCCCAAATATACCTGTTTTGACTGCCATACTAGATTTATAAAAAGAAATCCTAAACTTCAGAAACACCAAATTAGGCCACTATCAAAGAGAGATGAGTTCTAAAATTAGCTCTACTATCTAGGGATTTTAAATATAGAATTTTTTTTTAGTTTTGAAAATTTGAAACCCTTGTCCTCCTACCTAAGCTTATTACTGCTTAAATAACTGGTTCGCAAATTGCTCTTGGAAGTGACCACATGCTGATTGTACTTTCTCCACGTTAAAAACAAAGCATTTGCTCTGCATCATAAAGTAGATGGCCTGGAATGCTGAGAAGTTATATTGACAAAACGCCTACTGTGTGCTGGATGGTATGGAACATCAGAGGATGTTATTTGAGAGATTCAGCTCTGAGGGACTTCACAGTTCACTTTTATAAAAAAAAAAAAGGCAAATCTTTCAAATTTAAAATGAGTATACGTTTAATTGCAGATTCGCTTATTGTCTATGGAAGTATTCAAAGAAGATCGTAATGATCCTGTAAGTAAAAATTATCAGGCTGCAAATTTCAACTGGTGTCACTTATTGAACCACATTAAGTATTTCTTGCTCACTGGATGGCAGATACTTTGGGATTCACTTGTAGGTGGGTAGGAGAAAGCAGTTAGGTAATTTCCTGAGCTTTTTCCTCTTTTTCCAAATGTAGTTAATCAAAGAATATCTCAGCGCAAGACTGAGAAAACTCACTGATGACAAGATTGTGTACCACTATGCACTTTATTTAAAAATCTATCTCTAGACATAGTTGAAGCACAAGGCAAAACGAAACAGACATACGAGAATTTGTTTCCCTTTACATAGTATTAGACTTTTAAGAGCAGTGGATGGGACAGCCGACGGCTTGCTGCCCCTGAATTCGTTGTATTTCTCTAACCTCACGTCCTGTGCCCGCACTCTCGGCCCCCGTGGCAGCAGAGAGGTCAACACTCAATTCCTTAACGCGGCCACCTCTGCTCATCTTTCCACTAATCGCCAGACTCTCAATTTCATGCCACAAGCCTAAATCAACACAGCTAACACCTCCCATAACCTCCAGATTATTTCCTATGTGTTGATTTTCTGGGGAATGTGTACATTTTGGTGTTGACAGTACAAGGTATATTCCATGCTCTCTCTTGAACTTAGCAGGTTTTGACAGATTTATGTGAGGACAGATGGCCATTACAGGCTGAAGGCTGACAAGAGGCAGCTCAGAGCATTGTTAACACACTTGCACAAACTCTGAGCAGTGCCGCTCTGTGCAGAATGTAATTCAGACTATAGCTTTTTTATTGCTGCCTATTTTCTTTTGTCAAAAGAGCCTGCTGTGCAGAGCAACAAATGGCTGCTATTACCCAGAATGTAATGGGTGTCAGACAAATCACGTAACACAAACAATCAAGAGTATGTAGGTCATATTTCAACAGAGCACAACCTTAGCAATATTTATGATTACTGCATTGAAATGTGCTCTATAATAAACAAGTACCTCTACATCACTCACACTTATGCACTTCTGCACAGCAAATCCAGGAGAAGTGGCACACACTCTACAGTCATCTTTTTAAACAGTCCTTTTATTTAAAAAAAAAAAAAAGTCAGAGACAAGTTTGGTTTGGTTTTGTTTTTCATTATGTGCTATAAAGTGATTTTCTTTGAGGACTTCTCTTTGGGGTTTGTTTGTTTAATTGAATGACTCTGATAGATGCTGAGGCTCCTGCTCTAGTTCTTGTGTTCCACTATCCATCCACCAACTTCAGCAGGACTTTCTTTTCTCTTTGTGTTATAGTTTATGACAGTTAAAAAATCTACTGCTAACTCAGCAACTGTCTTTTGAGTTTACTTATCAGTGGAATTTTGCTTGTGCTCCACACCAATTCAGATAATGAAGGAAGAGCATTGAAACACTTCTCATTTACTTACAAACTTACTAAGAAGGGAAGACTGGACACAGAGAGGGGTTCAGTGTGTCCTCACATGGTTTTGGCCTTGAGGACTTGGAGTGGGTGTCACGAGTGCACAGGGAAGGCTGCTATCATGGGGTGCCACTGGCACCTCCATACTAGCTGTTCATGTATCTAGCTGATATCATTCCCCCTGCACTCTCCATGTCCCCTTTGCACTTCCCCAGGACTTGTTTGGGCTTCACAAGATGTATAGGTGCCCCCAGAAGCCCACTGGAACTCTGGCTGGCATCTATCACTGTCATTGGGAATATCTTGTCTTTAATCCATCAAATATTTCTTATAATCATCCCTGATTGTTGGGGAGCATCAAGATGCTACAGTAAACGTTCGAAATATTCCTAGGCCATGGGCCTAACTCCCTAGCTCTTTCTAATGGACAATTAAGATAGTATTAATTAGTGCTTTTGCACTTTTCCCCAGAGCTGATGCAGGGCACCTGGTATTGCAGGTGTCTAACACCAAAACCTATAGCTGATGGGGGAAAGAAAATGGATTTGATATCCTTAAAGGATAGTATTCAAACAATAATGGTATGATGTCTTTTCCACAACAGAAAACTGAAGACAAAAGGAATGACCATGACAGAC